TGTGTGTGTGTGTGTGTGTGTGTGTGTGTGTGTGTGTGTGTGTGTGTTTTCTTTTTAGCACATCTTCATACCTTGGCATTTTTGCAGATATTATAACCTAAAATGAGAAGAGTGTGAACTGATGGATGGCCAGGTACTCTTGGAGTTAAAAAGACCTAGTCTTGATGCTGATACATATTGGCTGTGTTGTTTTGGAGAAGTTCCTTAATCTCCCAGTGCCTCTGGCAGCTCTCTTCGACCATAAGGGGCTGATCTGCAATGGTGAAAGGAGTTTCCACACTGAGAGTTCTCCATGCCAATGAAATTGCTGGAACAGAACCAAAAAACAAAACAAAACAAAACATTTTTTTTTCTTGATCAATGCTATATCCCATACTGGGAAGCTCACTTTGGTTAAAGCCATTCATGTAAATAAGTATCACTGGATTATCCAAGATGAGCCTCAGTGTCCATGCCACGACAGGTCTTCTTCACTCTCTCTCTATGACTCCATGCTGCCTATACTACTACAATCTCCATACATTTGATAATGTCCTTTTTTCTTGGAATTACCACTGTCCTTACTTCTCCTACTTCTCCTTACTGCATTGACCCTTTCTGTGTAGCAAAACCAGCCGACACAGTGACCATATCTGCCAGTTTATGCAATATTTTGCACCCATAGTCCCCCTACCTTGCCAGTGAAACTTCCCTTCTCTTGAGAGGCACCTTCTTTCTCCTCATCTTCTTGGCGTCTCTCTGAGGTATGGGTATTTGACCACATTGGTGGTATTCTTGTAACATGGTTGTATAAATGGAGAAACCAAGGCACAGAGGATCAGGACCCTTTTGCAAATGGCAAGACAGAAAGAAAATTCAGGTTTTCCAATTTCCATTCTCAAGAGATCTTAAACCCACCTAGTGGAGGTGTTGTACAGGTTATGGCAGAAGTCCCTACGTCCCAAAGTGGTAGTCATTTCCTCCCTGGTTCCCGGTACCCTCTTCTTTGCCCCATCCTCTTTCCCCAACCTAAACTAGGACCTACCCTATCATTGAACTTTGGTTGTATAGGGAGCAGCTTCTATCCAAGCAAGATTACTTTATATTCTTCCTTCACTGAATTTCTAATTTCCCCGCTTTTTTTCAGCTTGCCATAGATACTCGGTTCTGGACTTGGATCAATCACTTTGTGATTTGGGGTTCCTTAATCTTCTATATCTTTTTCTCATTCTTCTGGGGAGGCATTCTCTGGTAAGTACCCGTGTATTCCTAAGTAACTCTGTAAATGTGAACACCTGTATATATTTATCCACACCTGTATATATTTATCCACATCTGTATATATTTACACTTAAACGCCTGCCATCTTTTATTTATAGTAGGAGCTAAAAGGGACCTCAGAGGTCATTGAGTTGACTCAATGCCCTCATTTTGCAGAGGCCTAGGGAGGAAGTGAGTTGCCTAGGATCACAAAGCATAAGAGTTGAGAATTGAACTCAGGTCTTCCTGACTTCACATCCAGCATATTCTCTTTGTTTCGTCTGTTGTATAAAATGAAATGAACCTATCAAGGAATTAATGTAAGGTTCATAATTAATAGTTTATATTTATGTAGTGATTTATGCTTAGAAAGTATTTTCCCTAGGTTATCACATTTAATCCTCAGAGAAAGCATGTGAAGTAAGCAAAGTGAATATCCTTCTTTCTCATTTTACAGGTGAGAGTACTGAGGCTTAGAGGCATTCAATTGCTTGAATATAGTCAGGCAGCTAGTCAGTGGCAGAACCTAAACCCAAGCCCAGGTCCTCGGACTCCGAGTCCATTGTTCTTTCTGCTATACTCTTGAGTCCTCTTTCAATTCAACAAGCAGTTATGAAGCACCTACTGTGTGCCAAGCTGGAAATTTAAAGATCAAAAACGAAATGGTGCCTGACCTCAAGTCCCTTAAATTGTACTAGGGGATAGCGTATACATGTATATGTGTGTGTGCATACACATACATACACACACACAGATAAATTGGTATAAAATATATCCAGAAAGTCAATCCTTCGACAGCCCATTTCTTGAACAGACTCATATGCCTTCCTCCATTTTTCCTATAATGAATTCCTGTTTTACTATATCAAGATTACAAAGAATGCAGAATAATGACATGATTTGCTGATCACATAATAGCAAACACGTGCCTCAATTTTATTTCACCATAGGCAACCATAATGTCCTTTTAAAAATTTTTTTAGTGTTTTGTTTTTCCCAATTACATGTAAAAAAACAATTTTTAACCATCATTTTTTACAATTTTGAGTTCCAAATTCTCTCCCACCCTTCTGCCCCTCCCCCCTCATTGAGAAGGCAAGCATTTTGATAAAGGTTATTCATGTGCAGTCATGCAAAACATATTTCTATATTAGTCATGTTGTGAAAGAAAACATAGATGAAAAAGAAGACAAGAAAAATAAAGAAAACCCAAAAAAAATATGCTTTGATCTGCATTCAGACTCCATCATCTCTTTCTCTGGAGCTGGATAGCTTTTTTCATCATTAGGCTTTCAGAATTGTCTTGGATCTTTATATTGCTGGGAATAGCTACATCATTCCAGTAGATCTTCATACAATATTGCTATTACTGTGGACCAAACCATAATGTTCTTGAAAAGAAATAAACTCATGTCTTTGAACTTAGAAAACTGATCTTGGTGACGTATCACTGTAAATTAGACTAAGTGAGCAGAAATTGTTAACGGTTGCATTTGGTCAGATATGAGAGTCATAACTAGGGCAGAGTGACTGGGGCTTCGGCCTAGGATGCCACATTTAGAGTGTGCTGATGACATTTGTTAACCTTCAGAAGGGCAAAACAGTGTCACGTAGAACCCAGTTAGCAAGAAGAATTAATTAAACTATAAAGCTACTGGGTGGGAGGCAGTGTGGTACATTAGAATTGGACTTGTAGTCAGAGGACTTGGGCTCTAATCCCAACTGTGCTATTTACTACTTAATTAAGTATCTTTGGACAAGTCATTTAATTTAATTTTCCAGTGTCTGAGTTTCCTTGAATATATAATTGGGAGGGGGAGGGGACAGGACGAATCCAGATGTCCTTTGAGGTCCCTCCTATCTTTAGACCCATAATCCTATGGTCTTGAGTCATCTAACCTTTCCAGGCCTCAATTCCTTTTCTGAGAAATGAGGGAGTTGGACTCGATTACCTCTGAGGTTCCCTTTCAGCTCTAGACCTATGATACCGATGATGGTGATGGTGATAGCGATGCTGATGGTGATAGTGTTGGCGATGGTGATGGCGGTGGGAGTGGAGCTCTCTCTGGCTGAGCTCATGATTTATGGCACTTGCCCCGGGCATACAGATTCCTAGAGTTGGCTCTCCTATCTTTAGCCGTTAAACTTTCCTATGGCTGCAGCTCCAGGAGACATTGAGCCACACTATGGCTATGGGGGCCTTGGGTTCGGTAGGGAGAAGCCTGGTGTGCATTTCACCTGGGTGGGGGTTCCTCGCCAGTTGCAGAGAGGTTAAATGTTAATGTTTTTGTTGCTAAGCCTAGTTAGCCCTTGATTGGTTCTCACTGGCAATGTTTACATAGCTCAGTGCTTTGACTAATAGAGCAAATTGCAATCATCTCTGTTGATGATGTTAAGTGAAATCCACTGAGGTCTCCAAACCCACAGCTTGGCCAGGTGCCCATTTCTGGCCTCACATCCGTAACACCTAGCCCAGTACCTGGTGGAGAGCTAGTGCTTCATAAAGGTTTGTTGATTGATTCATTCGTTCTAAAGTTGCTTAATTGCTTATTGAGAGACAGCATGGTGTGGTGAGGGCTAGATGTGGAGTCAAGGAAAGCCTGGGTTCACTCCAACCTCTGAGGCTTACTAGCTATGTGGCCTATGCAAATGACTTTACCTCTTTAAGCCTTGATTTTCTTTTCTTTTCTTTTCTTTTCTTTTCTTTTCTTTTCTTTTTTTTTTGGGTGAGGCAATTGGGGTTAAGTGACTTGCCCAGAGTCACACAGCTAGTAAGTATTATGTGTCTGAGGTCAGATTTGAACTCAGGATCTCCTGACTCTAGGGCCGGTGCTCTATCCGCTGCGCCACCTAGCTGCCCCAGCCTTGATTTTTTAATCTGCAAAATGGGAATGATAATACCCATACCACCCACCTTCCTGGGTTATTTTGAGGCTCAGATGAGACAGTGTACACGGAACATTTTGCGAACCTTAAAGTGCTAAATCATTGTCTGATAAGATTTGAATTTTATTTGCAGCACCTAGCACAGCATGGAGACCATCAGTGTCTGTGGCTTGGCTGATTGATTTTGTTCTCTTGTCTGTCCTCCTGCCTCCCTTTCCTTATCCTCATCTTGTCGAGGCAAATAGTCAAGAGACTACGTTAGAGCAGGAAGGAATCCTAGAGGCTATCTCATCCAACTTCCTCTTTTTATAGAGGAGGACAACTGAGGCGCCCAGAGAGGGCAGGGGACTGGCCCAAGGTCCTAGGGGAGATTAGTTGCAAAACCAGAACTAGATCCTAGCTCATCTGACTCCCAGGCTGGTTCCTTTTTTACAAAGCCTTACAATCCAATCAGCCAAGAGTGAAAAAAAGTGCCTTGCACATTGCCATGGGCATAGAGGATCTGCAGTAAATATTTGTTGATGGGCAGGAGACCAGGCTAGTCTTCTAACTGAACAAACAGTCTCTGTTTATAATAATAGCATATGATGATCTAAGAGATTAATTGAAGGACTACATAACCTAGTCTCTTAACCAAGCACCAGCCCAGCTAAGGGCCAAGGGACTTATCCCCCAAAGGTTGACCAGTAGGTGGTAAAGGTTTTTGACCCTAATGACCCCTCTAGATCAGGGCTTCTTAAACTTGTTCCACTCACCACCCTTTCAGTGCTGTGGACGACTCAGTTTAAGAAGCAATGTGATCATCTACTAAAATAAGGAGAGGGTATGACATGCATCAGTGCAGGAACATACAGAAGATCTCATTGGTGAGGGGCAGCACTGTGCCACGGGAAGAGTTCTGAACTTGGACCCAGAAGAACTGGGACCCAATCCCTGCCACTTCCTCGTTTATGGAGCCTTAACCTCTCTGGGCCTCAATTTCCTCCAATACAAAACAAGGGGGTTGGGTAGATGGCCTCTGAGGTCACTTCCAACTCCACTTCTATGATCTATGATTCTTGAAGGATAGAAATCTGAGAACTACGTTTGAAATATGTTCTTGTCACTTGAGACATAATTAGAAGAAGTTTTCACTGTTCTGAAAAGGGCATTGATTTTTATTTCTGAAAGAAAACCCAATAAGCACAACCCTGGGAAATGAAGGTAGGTAGGAAAATTAACTCTATAGAAGGCCAAGGCCTAGAGCTGACAGGCTTTGAAATGTGTAATTATGGCATGCCCATAGCACCTGTGAAGAGAAGCCTGTGAGCACAGGGGCCAAAGGAAACTTTCCTTTGTTTCGGTTTTGCTTTGGGTTATTATTGAGAGTTGCTTCAATATTGGAGGGGGTGGGGGTGGCACGGGAGGAACGACAGTGCAGTGAGTGGAAGGTTTGAGGCCTGTGATTTTATTGTTGTATGGTACTCCCTGCTCCCTCTGCCAATCATGAGGAACGAAAAGTCCGAGAGACATAGTTTCTGGGTAATTAGTAATTTTAATTACCTAGAAACTATGTTTCTCGAACTTTTCGCTCCTCACACGATGCAAATTAGTGATTTCGTCTGTAACATAACCTAAGATTGTTGTCTGGAGGCACTAAGAAGTGAAGTTGACTTGGGTCCCTCAGGCCAGTATTTGTCAGAGGCAAGCCTTGAACCCTGGTCTTTCTAAACCCAAGGCCAACACTGCAGTCATTCCACAATGCTTTGGTACTGCTATGAATCTATGCCCTCATTTCTTGTACCAGTGCATATCATAACTCCTTCATGTTTTACCATCCTGGACATGTCTTGTCCATGTCTTTCTAAAACTCCTCTATATAAGAGCTTGTCCTGTGGCCCGGAGGCCTTCCCTCGCTTCTTTGAGGGTACCAAGCACAGTGCCAGTTAGGATGCCCATCTTCAGTTTTTCATGCTCACTATATAGCCTGCCCATATAGTGGCACCATTTTTCGTCATATATATCAGGTGGTCATGCATGTCCTCAGTGTATGAGCTTTTTTTGGTGATATGAATAAATTCAAGTTGGATCACCAAAGCTCATGTCATCTGGCTAGGCCCAAAGCA